AGCTAGGTTAGTTAAGTCAGCCGCTACGCACCTATATCTCGGCCGTAACGTAGTTCGTATCCTATTGCGGCTGAGTTTTATGCCGCATTCTTACGTGGACCCGAACTTTTTGCTTACGTGGCATAAAAAAGTAATGGCATTCTTGTAAATATGTTTTTTCTCACAACGTGAAAAAAGGGCACGCTGGGTATTAAAAAAAGGTAGTAATAAAAAAAAGTTTTGTATGGTTGTGATAATAATTAATAAAATTCATACTAGTTGAGTTAACTTCCCTTATAATTATCCACCAACGAAATGGTCAAGAATTATTTCTGTACTCTTTAATTCCTCTTCAACGCTTTACTCTTCTGTTAAATCTGTAACAGAAGAGTGTAACGGATATTGAGACCCGGTTGATAAGAGAGAGCTTCAAAGTTGTTGAAAGAAAATATTCTTCTATCATGAGATATAGTGAATTTCTAGAGTCTCGGTATGAGGGAAATTCTGAAAGATATATTCCAAAATTCTTAAAATATCTAATTTTCAGTTGCAAAAAAAAATCTTATTTTAAAAAACAGACTTAAGGTAATTTTTCCATCCATTCATAAATCTAATACCCTTTAATTACTTACTTTTTGCATCAAACCTTGTGATATTAATGAAATACTAGATTTTTATCCGCGCATCCGCGGGGGTGTTGTTTTCACTTTTATATACATATGTTATTTATTTTATGACATTAGTAATATATCGTTGAACATATATTTAAATGTTTATATAATGTATTGCTAATTTAATTTAAGATGCTCTTATGTATTGAGAGAATGAAAATGAGAATTAAATATGGTTGTTAAGATTTTATTATACAAATACAAAAACATATATCTAAGAAATGGTCCATTTTAAAAAAATCACACATGAAGATAAGTTGTGACTTCTCTCTTAATATAATAGATATCAATAATAATCAATTAAGAACTTATATCGGTAATAAGCAAATATAAGTATAGACCCTTTTTATCATTAAATTTGGGTAATTTTAAGATGGACCCGTGGCATATGCCAGAAAGTCAGCCGTTTCAATTAAGAACTTATATCGGTAATATACAAAAAAGGTCCAAAATATTTTGCTTAGTACATAAAAAAACTATTGTCCAAGGGTCCAATCTAGTTTTAAGCCGGCACTGAAGAGATGGGATAAAAAGAAGAAAAAGCAACCCAATCTTCAGCCTTCTCATTCTTCTTCTTCGTCCTCTTCCCAACATTTTATCTTTTGGTAATTGCTGAGAGATTCTCATTTCTCCACAAACAAGAATAAAAAAAAAACACTTTCTTGTTTGTCTCAAGAAGCAAACAAACTAAAATCCAAGTTGGAAATTTTTCATTTTCTTTTCACAGAAATATTCAGTTCACATATAGTCTGAAGCAAGAAAAGATGAGAGATTTGGTCTCATGTTTCAGTGAAAACTCAATAAACGTGACACATCCATTATCTTCACCATCATCCATATCATCATCATTATCATCATGTTCAAAATACAACACCAGCAAGGCTTGCTTCTCACCATCTCTCATACCATCCATACAAACCTCCATTACAAGCATCTACAGAATCACTTCACTTTCCAAGCATCTCATCATAAAAGTCACATGGTGCAGCAACAACAACAACAGTGGTCTCAGCATCTCTGTCTCCTCCGCAGATCAAAACCCTTCAACATCCCTCAAACTCAACACTTCTTCTCGCTTCTTCCGTAAGAAGAAAGGAAACAAATCAGTAGATTCCGATCTCGGCAAAATCGAGGTTTCTTGGGATCTTTCTTCCGCTCAATACGATTCGAACCTGAGTCCTGAACCGGTTCAAGACTTCTACGTTATCGTCCTCGTCGATGCTCAGCTAACTCTCCTTCTCGGAGATTCCTCTGAAGAAACTCTCAGAAAAAGGGGTTTGGATTTCGATTTCGACTCAAGAAGATCTCTGGTTTCTCGACAAGAACACTTTTCCGGTAATACTTTTTACTCAACTAAGGCTAAGTTCGTTGAATCAGGAGATTCACACGAGATCGTTATCAGATGTAACGCCGAGAAAACAGAGGGTTTAAAACAGAGCACTCATCATAATCATCACTCCCCTGTTTTGTCTGTTTGTATTGATAAGAAGACGGTTACGAAAGTGAAGAGGCTGCAATGGAATTTCAGAGGGAACCAGACGATTTTTGTAGATGGGTTGCTAGTGGATCTGATGTGGGATGTTCATGATTGGTTCTTTTGTAATCCAGAAGGTTGTGGAAAAGCTGTGTTCATGTTTAGGACAAGGAATGGTTTAGACAGTAGCAGGCTTTGGTTGGAAGAGAAGATGGTTCAAAAAGATGAACAAGACAAAGACAAGCTTGATTTCTCTCTCCTCATTTACGCCAGTAAGACTTAAAACCAACAACAAAAGATACAAATTTTCAAAAAATGAAACAATATTGTTTTGAGATTTGCAAGAAAAGATTTATTGGTTCTGTTTTTTTTTTTTACTATTTGAGAAATTTTTATGGGGTTTTCTATTTTTACTTACCGTTTCTTCTTGAAAAGAGTAGAGATTTTTATTACATTATTCTTTTCTTGGAATTGCGATTTAATATTTTAGAGATTCCAAAATGTGAATTTCTTCTTAGGAAGATTGATAATATTATTCTAGGCGATATCGAGTTGTTGCTTTTTTTTTTGTATTTTCTTCTTATAAACTCAAGGTCAGTGCCTAGTCTTATATTGAATGTCATTTGTTCGGAAAATATGATCTCTATTACTGTCTTTTTCTTGCAACATAGTGAGTTTATGATCTCTATTAGGCGTGGGTATATGAATCGAGAATTGAAAACCAAACCAAAACTGGACCAAAAATATCGATCGAATCTGAAATCAACCCGAAGTTTACAAACGGTTCTTATGTCGCTAAAACCAAAAATCAAAAACTGAAACCAAATCGGAATCAAAGTAATAACCAAATGAGTATCAAAATATAAAAAAATATAGTTTGTATACCTAAAAGTATCAATTATATCTATTATATTAAAAGAGAAGTCATGACTCATTTCATGTATGATATTTTAGTTTGGATCATCCTTATAATTTTATAAAATTTTACATAACATTATAATATTTTTTCATATCTTTAATTTTTATTTGAAATACAAATAAATAATTTTAATAAAATTCTAACAAAATCTTTTAGAATCTTTTCAAGATATAGTTTCAAAAATTATTTGATTAAAATTTTAAATTATCATAAAATATAATTAAATTTTTAATTCATTTTCTATTTATAAATAAAAATTAAAATGATGTAAAATACTTTTAAAATATCCCAAAACTTTGTTTATGTATTATGTAGGTCCAACTTAATTTACTTTTTATATATATTTTGAATTTAGAAATAAAACAAAATATATAAATTAGTAATGTTACATAATAATATTTTTAAAAATTGTTACAAAAAATAAAAATTTATAAATTTTATATTAATAATATTATAAGTCACATAAAAATTATTATAAAATTAGATAACATACATGATCAAATAATATTTATTTATTGATAAATTTTACTATATAATTTCAAATATTTTCGTATTAATATACCTGTACGGTTGTGCGGGTCGAAATCTAGTTTAGTTTTAAAATTACAAAATGTTTTTAAAATACTAGTTATAAACCAAAATACGCGAACAACCTGAATTATCTAAATATTTTATTTCTACATCTGAATTTTATTAGTATTATTTGATATTTTATTTAAAAATCTAAAAATCTGATATTTTAGTCAAGTTAGCCAAAATTATCCAAAACTAAACCAATATATACCTGAAATATATTGGATATTAGCCAGACCTTAGCATTGTTATCCAAATTAAGTGAAATAACCGAATCAAAATTGAACTGAACTTCTTAAATTACTAAATGCTTTATATATCTCTAGACTAAAAATAATTGATTATTTTTTTTTAAAAATAAATTGGAATAGAACCGAAAGCCGAACGCCCAAACCTATATGAACCAAAGAGTGTGAAATAAGATGAGAATAATTTGGAGCACATGTGCACGCTTATAAAGATATGCATGGAGCCTCTTTAAAGTACAAAAGTTAAAAGCCTAGAATCTACTCATGCTTTTTGTGGTGATTTCGGTTAGCGGAAGTTTAGGTACTTAACATCCTTTACGAACATGTTCATCTAATTTTAGGTGGCTGCATTGTAAATTCTAGTTTGATTCTGTTTCGGTTAGGAGAGATATAGGTGGTGACATCCTATTGAAGCAACATTTTTCTTAGATTGGTTGATTTGGAGAGTTTTAGTCGCTAGATTGCGAAGCTGTGTTTCCTTAGAATTGAAGTTTTAGTAAAAAAGAAAGCCAACATGTACATATGTTAATGTATCGCTTAAAGTTTTGACAAGACTTGATTCGATTATGTAAAAATTAGAAAATATTAGTTTGAAAATAGTGCATGTAAATATAATATGATATGGACCATATGGTGATTAACCAAATCTCTGTATTGAATTATTTACCAGATATATTGAGTATAATATACAAATGAGAGATTCGGTCAACATAAAATTTCAGGGTACTTAAAATATTGCGTCGATTCATTTAAAAACCATTTTAGAATTTGACTGTCTGGCAAACTTACCATATTCGATATATTATTAATAACAGATACTTGATTTCTAAATTATAATAAAAATAAACATGGCTAAAATGAGATAGGCCAGTAGCACGTTTTGACGCTAAACGATAAAATGAATTATTGTTAAAAAATAGAGGATATAAAATGTAATGTGCGCTCTTTTTTTTTTTTTTTAAATAGAGCGATATATTGTTCCATCAAAATAGATTCAAATTAGCTAGCCACTTGTGAACAATCTATATTTTCAGTTCATGTATCGGTTTCCAGTCTTTGGCGATAGCTAAAAAATTTATTCTACAGTGACCAAGACTCGAACACAAATAACTTCACCGTATTGTGCTTTTTCCTCAAGTTAGTCACCACTAGATTACAAACGCCGGTTCAAAATAATCAACTACTAGTATCAAAAATATGTAGGATGCAAAATGTGATGTGTGCCCATTCTTACATTTCATTTAGTTTTATAATAGCATTTACAAGAGAAAGATGATTCAGTTGTATATTACTACGCTCCTAAATATAGTTTACAATAATCAACTACTAGCAACAAAGCTTTTTGGAGCAAAGTCTGGTTTGATAAAAAAAGCGAAATGATCAAGAAGGCAAGCAATTATGGTGAACAAGAGCTAAACCGACTTCTTATATAGGATTTCAACTTATTAACAGAACATCTCACAAAATTTCTTAAATCAAACTGAATTTGTTTTAAGGAATTGTGGTACTTACTATTAAAGTGTAAATCCTACTCATAATAAGGTTTTTCTTTTTCTTTTTTTTTGTCATCAACATAACATACTCCACTAAGATATTGTAGACCAAATTGGCAATTCTACGTCAAAAGATAATTGATTCATGGCGTTCTGCACAAGATTATTAGTCCTTGTATTTTTTGTTATGGGTGTGTAGATGAATTAAGTAGTTGAAACTTCCTCGTAGCATTTTGATGTCTTCCAAAGAATTTGTAAAAGCATTCCTTCTTCTGGTACTGAAACCATTTTATTATCAAATCGAGAACAGTTTGTTGCAAAAATGACATGAAACTGTTTTAAATTTTCTATGCATTCATTGTCCATACGAGTGCTTATATTTCCGAATGTAAGGGTGAGAGACTGGCTCTCGTATTTCTGACTCTTATAAGTCCATCAAAACTCTCAAACATATTATATCAGCCCTGACCCAAATGAAGATTCTCATGTTTATATGATCCATCCGTAAAACACCATATTTCCCAAATATCAGGTAAACTTGTCCTCTCCACTTCAGTAGATTGAGTGATCCTCTGCATAACTGATGCATGTGCCTTAACCCAAAATATTGATTATGTTGTCGGTTTAAGAGTATCCCTAAAGTCCATCTTTATTACTAAGAACTTTGTTATTTCATTATTTCCAAAGCTACCTCATGGTTATCTATATGTGGTGTACTCCTCCAATACAAATGATCTTGTTGGCCAAAAATGATGGAGGCGGGAATATGTCTAGGTTCAATAAGGTTTAATAAAGCATAATTTCAAGGTTCAAAAGGAAGTTAATCATATACTGGCAGAGTCCGTCCGTGTTTTTATTGGGCTGGAAGCAGAACTAAAAAATGGCCTATTTATGGTCAATTATTTATAAATAATTTTTTTTTAAAAAAAAATCCCTAAGTGGGATCAAACCCTTTAGCTCCTCTACATCACGTCTCACCATTACAACTAGACCTATTGAAGCTATTGTCAAATTGTGGCTGCTAAATTTCATATATTATTAATGGCCGGAAGCACCACCTTCTTCTGCTTCCCTCCAGGCCGCCTCTGTACACCGATGTGGAAGACACAAATTGAAGTGAAACAGTGAACTCAAATTATGGAGTTAATCATACACAATCAAACTTATTAAGCCTCATATTTGTTAGAATTAGAGATTAAGAAAGTATTGTTGCTGGAGAATGAAGAACAAATAATAGAGAGAGAGAGACTTTCGTGAGTTGAGAAGAATAGAAGGAGGAAATATTTTCCTTAATTCAATCAATGTGCATTACAGCAAGATAAGTAGGCAAGAGGCCTGAAATAAAAAATAATTAAAATAATACAAGTTGGTACACAACG